TAATAAAGTAACCGGGCGGCGGGACGGGGGAAATGTGGCCAACTACTTAGGGCGACCCACTCAATATGATATGCACACAATATTATGGTCGAAAAACGGTCGAACGGGACAGCAGCATAATATTAAAAGTGCGCCAGTGGAACGTGGCCTGATTCCTGACGAAGGATGAGCGAAAAAACTTTCGCAGCTTTTTCAACTTTCAGCCAAGTTGCCTACTCAGCGTTATTAACATAATTTATCACGACGGCGACACCAGCGTCCAATAAGGTAACACTTTTGCTCGCCTGCTCCGCACAAAAGTTTGCCCGCCGAAACTTTGCGATAGCAACATATTCATTACATAATCATTATGGCCGCGGAGATTCCTTTCTGTCAACGATTTTATTAGCAGCCACCGTTGAAACTCAATCGAGTTGGCTGACGAAATAATTATGTCCTCCGAAGCAATGATTAATCATTGTTCGATTTGCCTGCTGAAGCCGAGTCCCTTTTGCTATTTTTGTAAAAAAAAGGAAACAGAAAGAGCGAAAATAAATTGGCATTTATTGTGATGACTTGCTGTGCTTTTGGGGGACAGGCCGCAATTTTGACGACTATACATCAAAATGTCCAACAGTTGGCGAGCTCCAGCTGATTGGACCCCAGGGAGCACTTAATTTGGTCGGATTTCGGTTTTTTTGGCATGGAAAAATCCAGCTCGATTTGGAATGGCGGTATTTTAATAGAGCAGGCCATTGAGGCTTAGAAGTCCATTAAATGGATTTTGGCACTGGCTTGGAAAATAACACATACCACTGATTTGATGCTCAATTAAAACTTGGTAGCTAAAATATAAAGAAAGGCTTAAAGCGACATGATTGCAACAAATTCTATAAAATAGTTTTTGTAAATTTCATGTTTCATGAAACTTTTAGCTTTGACCACTTAATTTTTATATCGAGCTTCTTATTGGGCTTCAAGTTCTTCTGTGAGCCGAAAACTTTTCCGATTAATTCGGAAGTCAGATTGCAGTGACCTTGACTGAAAAGGGCTACGAAATAATGTCGCAGACATTCCAGGACAGTTCTCCCCCAGAAAGCGCTTAGCCATTCGCCAATAATTCGAAAACTTTTCGGCCAGGCCAGCTGGAAAGTGTGCTGGCCAAGTTCCTCGAGCCGTTGGCCATTAAAAAGTTGTGTACTCTCATTTCAATTGGCTGAATGCAGCGAAGTTGTTAAGAAAATGATAAACTATGTGCAAATTTGTGCTTCGCAGTGCGGGCAACAGCGACTTGAATTGTTGCAAGTGTTGCACGCAAAGTCCGAAGTAGGAATCCGGTCAGAAAGTTGCTCGTTGCAATTGTCATTATTTATTTCCGCACTGCCACTCAACGCAAATTGCCAGCCAATTATATGGTTAGTTTTCAAGTACGAATATTTTCTGACATACTGGCTTTGATTTGTGCCTTAAGCCGAAAAAAGCCCCAATAATTTGGTACCCATTTCTTGCATTTCGTTGTCGCCAGCTCGTAATTAATGCAAATTAGATATGGACCTGCGACGAAATGAGTTTTTCATCAAGCCTAACAACTTAATTAGCTCATAAAAATGACGCCCTCAAGCTGCTAACCCACCTCCGCCCCCAAAGCCACCAAATATTGCCGTGTTCCTGCGTGTGGCGGCCACTTAAGCGCGCCACAGATTGCCAATGCCCTCTATCTGCTCCCCAGACTCGTTTCCGTTTCCGGAAATGCCGTTCCTGCGCCCGGGTCGTAGGTCACAGCGTAGGCGCAAAGCTAATTAGTATTAAGTGCTCTTGCGGCACTCGAGGCCATTCCTCTCCCTCAACCATGCCCCATGTTGTGGCTGGTGCTCCACGGGCTCCACGGGCTCCATCGTTCCGCATTTTTGTTGTCGCCTCGGGTGTGGCAAAAAAATATTTTTGTGTGTGCGGTCAGTTGTTAAATTCCAGCAAAACGTTCGCAGCAAACATTTTGAAGCTTTATGATTGTGGTGCTCGAGGCGTGGCATCGATGCTCTTTTGTGTTTAAAATGTTTCCAAAATTAAATATATATAAATGTATTTATTTATTAAAGCTATATTTATATATACATGCCTAAATTTCCCCCATTTGTACCCCAATTCCTTTGGGGCTGAAATAACGAGGATGGCAATGAGATTTTGGTAAAACTGTTGCGCCATTGGCTTTCCCAATTTGAAATACCAGGCAAATGTTGAAACTTCTCGTTCGTGCTGCCACTACCTGAGCAATGGGTATCTGATAGTGGCTTCTTTGATTTTTATTTTGACTTTTTCACTACTATAGCTCACCTTTCACTTCGAAGCTCAGGTTAGTCGGATTAAAAAGCTACACATTTATTCACATTTCCCTGTGCTTTCATCCAACCATTCTAAAACTACGTTATTAATTCGCCAAGCCCAGCTTCTACCCCGTTTCATCTCGAATTCCGGTGCACGTAGACGCTTTACTTTAGTTCCACTCATTTCCGCTCCTCACATGACTTTATGCAATAACATCCAAATAAAATTATCTTATCAGCCACTGAAGCATCCTGCGTGTCCTGCGCGTGCCGAGTGTGGGCTAATTTTATTGCATAAAACTTGTGCTTATTGCGTTTCCCCTCCCCGGAAAGTCCGCCCTCGTCCAGCAGGAAAAATTGCACGTTCCGGTCATACGATGCGAACGTGACCGCTTGACCATCGTCGGAGGACCAGGAGATCGGAGCAACGCACTTGGGCTGTCCTGCCGGCGACGATGTCCTGTGACATGTCCCATTTCCATGTAATGGACATGGCTTGGGGCGCCACGAGCTGAATTACGGTAATTCATGGTAATTTTTTGTATCTTTCGGCGGTGGAAACACGATGGCAATTTGCTTGTTGCTCTAGAAATGGATCGTAATGTCGATGCAAGAAGTCGGGAAAAGTTGAAATGACTGCCAGCGTAGAACTAAATATTTATCAATATTCTTCAGTGACTAATGACACTAACTGCATTTATTTTGAACGTATATGTAAGCCGCTTTGGAGCTTAACCCTAACTTAAGTGATTAGTGTAATTGATTTACCTACTTACAATTCATATGTATATACATACGAGTACATATCCCTAACTCATCCAACAAACTCTACTTCAAGAACAAGGTAAATATGTTCAGAGCATAATTATATACTGCCAATCAACAATTTTAGAGCTTAAAAGGAGCCAACGAACTTGTGAACAGAATGCTTCTTTGAGTCCGTCATGATTATCTACAGAGTTGAGGGAATGTGGCACCAGGATGCTGAGGACTTGAGCACAATGAGGCACGTACTCCTGATGCAATGAAATGACAACGGCGCAAGAACAGCAAATATAAATGCAAATAAACATTGTGTGGCAAGCATTTGTGGCTCGTTACTTACCAACACACAGCCACTCACGTAATGACTGTTTACACGTTGCTAACCTTATTAGTTGGCCACCGCAAATACACTCGGAAAACAGGACTTTGTCTTCTTGCATTTACCACCACTTAAATTTACCCATTAAAGCATTTTGAATCGCTTTAATGTACCTATTTTTTTAGAGAAATAAAGCACTTAAAAATATTAAAATGTCTTAAATTGCAGTGATATATTCGAGCGTGTGCATCCTAGAACCTTCGAATCAGCAGTGTTGACTTTCATAAATGCGGTCAGATCAGTTGGAAAAACATTTTTGCGACGAGCTGTGTATGAGCTTGCGTACAACTTATTAAATTTTGCTGCTTGAGTGGTTCGTTTTGTGTTTGCTTGATTATCTCTCTGCTGGATGGCTTTTATCGGAGCCAAGTCAAATGAAAATTGTTGATTATTTTCTAATGCGCTCCAGCAGCTCAGAAATGTGAAATATTGTCATTGAACGTCGCAAAGCCAATGGAAATGCGATTTATTAAAGAATATTTCACACCAGATGGGGAGGGAGCCACAGATCAATTGTGATTTATTCAACACATCGATGTAGGCATTTCGATTACTGTTTTTCAAGATAAAAACGAAGCGAAAAGTGAAAATGAGCAGTATGGAAAACTCAGCTTAGCTGGAGTTTAAAGTTAACTTAAATGCCAGCTCCGACTGACAGTTGCATTCGGAGATAAGCATTTGTAAGCACTAAACTGAAATTGCAATCCAACGAAAAGGATTCGATGCAGCAAAGTTGTCACAAACGAAATGCAAAAGGGCGCACAAAAGCAAATGCCATTCTTAGGCAAAACATGAAATTTAATATCCAAGCGAATGACGCTTCCAAGTGAAATTAAAAACCGAATTTCCAGTCACACAAGGCCCATCCTCTACGTGTGTATATACTACACATTCGAGTTTGCATAGAGCAGTTGATATAGTGTAAATATTTTGACATGGCAATATGTTGTCACAATCATGCCTGTGTGTCGTCTGACGAGTGTTTGTTCGAAATTCGGCCATTGTGGAGCTGAAGATGGAAAGTTTATTTGCTTGCCCATGTCCCAGCACTTGCTGTTAATTTGTTAAAATTTCACTTTATAAATATAATTCAACTCTGTGCTGGCTGAGCCAAAACGTGGCCGCCGAAGGTTGGCATTATTCCGGGTTGTCGTACCATAAGTTTTCCAATTTGCATAACTTCCGCAGCAGTTGGGACTATAAATATGCAAAGGGTTTTACGACCGCACTATATGCAAGTGCCTCAAGAAAACGTTTTCTCAGACCCATTCCCCACTCGGTGTTGGCCCACTTGAATGGATGAATGGACGACTCCCAGTGTTCTGTTGGTTGTTTGGCTGGTTTCAGCTGCGCTTGAATTGAAATTGAAGTGTCCTACTAAATGGCAAAAGTCTCAATGAAAGCTGTTTGCATAGCAGATGAGCGACAGGCCTAGTATTATTTTAGCTTAGGAAAGGATAAAGGATTTATTACAAAATAAATACTTTAACGTGGGTACCAACTGTATGTATACATTTTCGTATAAATCGAACAAAAATAGTTGGCCTTGCATCAGATGTCAGCTCGGACACAACTCAGCGCCGACGTAAAAGTAACATTTTGATCGAAAAATTATAAAAATCGAGTTTCGGATAAAATAAGTACATATCAAACTCCGTGGTAAGCGCGTGGGAGTGGCACAATACCCAAATAATAGGTCACAAACTACAGCGACATTAACTTCGGCATCGAAATCAAACCTTCCATCATGGGCTTTGATATGAACTGCATTGTGGGCCACGTTGACGAGGAGCTCATCTGTCCGATTTGTACAGATGTCCTGGAGGAGCCGGTCCAATCCTCGCAATGCGAACACGCCTACTGTCGCGCCTGCATCGATAAGTGGATGCTCCAGAAGCAGATTTGCCCGGTGGACCGCTCCGCCCTACTGGCCTCACATTTGGTGCCCGTTTCGCGCCTCATGCGCAACATGCTCGGCAGGCTGAAGATGAAGTGCACCTTCTCGCAAAGCGGATGTACCCAGATGCTGGCCCTCGAGGAGTTCCGGACCCATGTAGCCGCCTGCGAGCATAATCCCAAGGTGGTAGTCGAGTGCAGCAAGGGGTGCGGCATGAAGGTAAGCAGTCTGGGAGTTACTTGAACTTTTAAGATCATTACCACATTACCATCTAAAGATTCCCAAGGACGAGATGTCGCGCCACAACTGCGTTTTCGAGCTGCGCGAGGTGGTGGAGACAGTGGTGAAGGAGGTTTCCGACCTCAAGCAGAAGGTAACCGACCTGGAGGCGCAAAGCTCCAGTCAGCGCCGGGAGCTGGAGCTGTTCCAGTACTATATCGCAGCACTGCGATCAACCAATCCCGTGCTGCGCAACATTGGCGAGCAGCTGGATCGCTTCTCGCTGATGCAGTGGGGCAATGGACTGCGCCTGGCCACTGTCAACTCGTGGGGCAGCCTCATCTCCACGCCGGATTCCCCCATGCACCTTATGGTGCGCAACGTTCTGCGAGCCAGCGGCTGTCCGATGCACATGCTCAACATGATGGTGGACCACTGCCACGAGGATCGCTGGCCCGAGGGTCTGATGACTCTGGACGATCGCCGCGAGAACCAGCGCCGCATGAGTCAGTATGTCACCCGATTGGTGCCCGGTCTGGTCACCGGGAAGCCGTGTGTGGTGGTGCTTGCTGGCGACAACACCCATATGCCGGAGAATCTGCGCCCTAGCCTCGGCCTGGTCATGATCTTTGTCGACGGGGTGGATGAGAGGGCACAGCAACCGTGGCCGGACACCGAGTTTGTCTAAGCCCCATCATACTTGTATATCCCACATCTAAATTCATTTTGGTAACGCAACACGCTAGCGAAACTGGCTGCCTGTTTCCCACGTTCTTTGTTTTGGAAAGGTGGTCATGTTGCTGCCAATGTCTTAAATTACACGATCAGCACGAGTTAATCGTACGTCAAGCGGCCATGCAACACTCGTCCACATGGAAATATAAAAGCAGAGAAAAACATACGTTGCTTCCATTTAATTCCATTAATTCAAGTTACATAAATAGAAAAGAAACCAAAGCTTTGTTGCTAGTGAAAGTCGTGTACAAGGAAATGTGTTATTTTTGCAGTGCAGTACCTAGTGAACGGTATGTACCTGCGTACAGTACCTAGTAGGTACCTACAAGTGACCACAACCATTAAAAGAGTTCTTACAAATGGTTTGGATAACATATGAAATACTTAGCCATGACTTAAGATAGAATTACCATCCAAATATAGCACTTAACTTGTGAAACGAAATTGACCATCGAAATATTAGGATTTTGTTTACTTTTACCCGTCGATTTCCTCAGTGCAGCGCCACTCACAGTTTAAACTTGTCGTTGTAGCTGACAGATATTCTTCTCGGCAATTACGCGGCAATTATAGAAGCTCAGTGAACAGCCGGGCGTATGCGTAATGTTGGAGCGAAATTAAATAAACGCATAAGCTGGGATTGGGGTTACTCCTGTGGGTGAGTGGCTGGGTTGCGGTGGGTGCATCAAGTAAAACTTATAATGGAAATGGTAAAAGTTTGGCTGAGCTCGGTTCGCGGCAGTTGGCGACACCATTTGGAAAAGTTTTACAAATTGTACAAAATTTAATTTCCCAGCTGAGATAAATTTTCGGGGCCATTACGATTTTAGTCCGCAATTGAAAACGAGATCTCTGATCAAATGAAAATAAATGGACTGCGAGCAGCTTACTTCGAGGCCATGAGCTCACATCTGTGCAAATATTGTCCATTGCATGAAGTATACACCGTATTAGTGTCAAATCAAACACGACTCTTTGTACTAATTAAATGGCCCGGGTCACACAAAGGGCATGTACTGCTAACTTGATTAAGCCAAGACGACGAGTACAAAGGGCAACTAACGAACTAACCACCGAATGCTGCAGCTAATACAATGATAGATGCCGGCACCTGGGAGCCCTTTAACTGGCTGCCTCAGGGCCTGCTGCAAAAACCGAAGCCTAATGCAACAAAAGCCAAAACTTAATTAATATTTACATGGGTCCTCCTTCGCCAGAGGACGTAAGGAAGTAAGCCAAAGGCTCAGTGAAAGCTGCTGTTGTGGCCTTATCTTGTCATGTTTGCATATGTGCAGGCGTCGCTCTTCCTGGATGCTCCCGCCACTGGAATCCAGAGGCGATGATGGTGACGGGGAGCTCGACGAGCCTGAAATGGGAGGTGGTTCTCCTGCATGGCTGCTAGAAATCAATTCGCATTGTTAACCCATGATTGGATATTATTGATTCAATTTGCAGCCAACCGACCAAAACATGTTTTATGCATGCCCATGCCCTCGTCCCCCACCAAACTTGCTCCTTTTTGTCTGCTGGTGCATGTATGCCGATAATGTCCTTCGGTATCGATAATGGCCCACATGCACGCTCGCACACTAACACCAACACCCGCGCCGGCACACACACTTGCACACGTACTTGTAGTTGGGCAAACTTCAAGCTCAACTCAGTTTAATTTATGCATTTGCTGCACTCGGCTGGTAGCCACAGTGGGATCTAATTGTTCATAATCGAATCGCACAACATATAATACATAAAATATAAAAAATATATACATTTCCAGATTAGCGCGCCTTGCTTATTTAATTACCATAAATAATATTTAATATTTTACATTCGAAAGCAATGTTTGTGTAGCTTTGAATATACTGTAAGAGCTTACTTGAAGCATGAAGAACAATACATGTCACCATTTCCAAACATCGTCACCACAAACTTTTCCTTTATGCAAGAGCTTCTGTAGCTGCAACCTATTATTTTTAGATAGCTGCAAAACAGCCGTTGTGGTTGCCTAAACTATGTTTGGCTTGAGGCCTGTTAATCGAAATAAATATGTATATTGGAGCAAATCTTAAATATGGCCTTTACTATTTTGTATAATTATAATTTATAGCACCAATATAGTTGTATCGTTAGCTAAATTCGTAGCTAAATTTGAAGGACTTGAATTTGTTTCGGGCGAAAGTTATAAATCGATGCCATATCAGTGGCAGTACAGCTCGATAGCACAACACTAATCACCCAAAGGTAAATCACCGGGGGCAGCACAAAGGAAAAAGTGGCGAGTGAATTGTGCAACAGCGACCGCCTTCCTTGCCAAGGCTAAAAATGTGAATGGGCCAGCGCTACACAAGAACAGCGACAAAACACAGCGCGGCAGTAAATTGGCGGCGATAAAATTGAAATCCGCTGGAAGCTGCGCTAACCGATTTGGCCCAGTCCTTGGACTTTAGGCCACCTGGAGGTGCAAAAGGAAAAGCCAGGAAGTCGGCGCGTTGAGTTGTGAAAACCGAACGGAAATAGCGGCCATAACTCGCCAGTTGGAGCCAGAAAATGGAGCAAAGGGAGCGCTATTTGGTTGGGTTTTTCTGCCCCAGGACGCTGTTGCCTGCACGAATTTATTTGTCCTTTTTGGGAGGCAATATTGGGTAGCTTTGATTAGCGGAGATTGGCAAAGGTTTCAATAGCGCCGCATGACCGATTTACCGGGAGTTGGTCTGGATTAGCAGCCATGAAAGGTGGATAAGAAAAACTAGTGGAAATGCTTTTTCGTTTTTCGAAGTGTTTGAATATCGTAAGAATGAAAAAATTATATATTAGGAGGCTTACAAACTAATCCCCAAGATATCTTTCCTTATATAGAAATGAAATCCGAGGGTGGTCCCCATACTCAGTTGGTCTAGTTCCACTTGTTCGAATTTATATATATGTGTATCACCTGAACAGTGAAAAGCTGCTAAGCGATTTGTTAAATTTATGTATCCTTCCATGGACCGGACCAGACTACCATCCATTTTGTGTTCTTTGCGGTGGGAATGCAATAAAACGGTAATGGCATTTATTAAGTACTCATTTATTTGATTAACGACGAAAAAGAATATTTTTATTCGAGTTGAAGTTTCTGGGCCGAAAAGGTGAACAATTTATTAGTTGCATATACAATCGAACATAGATATTTTGTTATATTGGAGGTGATATGGTATAATTTAGCTGTAACAATAATATTTCATTTGAATATTTCATTTTTAACAGCTAGCTATGATCAGTTAGGGCCATACTTTCCTTCCCAATGCCGGAAAATGGCAACTGGAAGCACTCGCTTTTAATATGGTTTTGTCATTTGGGTATATTTGCCGAAAACTTCAGTTCAGCAGCAATCTTCGCACTCAATGCAATCAGCTTGTTTTTCCTTCGGCTGATTGTTGCTAATGCGCTGTAAGTAGCAGTATGCCACATGCCACATGCCACACGCCCATGCAGTCGCCCGTAGTAATCAATTGCTACGAGATGCTCCCAGAAAGCCATTCAGTGCGCCATTGGGAAGGGCTTTGTTTCCTCTAACAACTCCTCTTTTTGTGCTGGCAATTTACTGCAATTGCATCAGGAGCAAAAAAGAGAAACTTTCGTTTAATGCCCACACTTTTGGGTGTCGTTTCCAGCATGACACCAGCAGAAAGCAGAAAATGCTCTCGGATTTCAGCTAAATGCTGATCCCTAAGGAGCAATAGCCGACTACCAGAAAGCGAGATGGCTAGGATTATGAGACAAAATGCATGCAGCTAAGCCATTAACTCAATAGCTGATGTCGGGTCTGAAATTGTCTTACACTTTTAACTATTTGATCGAAAAAGTATAATTGGTCACTAGCGTGGTAATATCTTAGTTAGATATCACGTAGTGCTTTATAGTTGAATAAATATGCTTAACTTTATTTAAAAGTATATAACAGTTGGTCAACTTTGAAGGTCCTAGTCCACATCATAGGATTATCTTTTTTCGCCCGAGCCACTATTATTACCAACAATCCTAATGCTCACTTTGGAGTGACGGTCAAGGGGAATTTGTGTCAGTTCCCGATAAAACTTTTTAGCCTTAACTCTAAGCAGTCTAACCACTCAAAAATGTTGAGAGCTCAGGGACAGTAGCAATTATTTGTTGTACTTTTCAGTTTCATCCAGTTGGTGTTGTTGTTTATTTTATTCATGGCCAAAACTGCTTGCCGGGAATTTGGCTCTTTACGTGTATGGATTTAACATCGGTCAGATGGCCCGTCCTTTCCAATCTGCCCCCGACTTGGTTTTAAGTTTCCAAGTTATGTTTATCTAAATGATGCCAGCAGCCAACACTGCGTATGTGGAATATTTTTTATTGTGGTTTGCAGTCTGTTGAGGCCAGTTTTCAGATGTGTGGTAGCTGCTTTTGACATTGGCTAAGGGGTTGGAGTCCAGTAAAGTGGTCTGGCATTTTAGTGTGTTTCGCCAGATAAGCCAATTTATTCAGTTGTTCTTTTTAAATATGCGTGTTAATTTGACTGTGAAAGTTTTGCATGGCATGAACTCGTGTGTGGCTTGGGAAAGGAAGTCGGAAGTAGTTGTTATTCATGGTTGGAACTGGCTGTATCTCACATGTCGTTCAAATGGTTTGATTTGGAAAACTAATTTTTTCTTTAAGCCGAACTTTTGTTGAAGCTGTATGAATTTAAAAATGTTTCTATAACTATACGTTTTAATCAATTGCAATTAATTAAATAAATATAATAAACATAATTAATTTAAAATGGGTTCTAGCGAGTCTATTATTATATTGTTTAAGGAATACTTATTGTAAATACAAACTTTGCTAATATAAATCTAAGTCGAAGTTTCAGCTGGATAAAATACATTAACAACTAAAGATATAACAGACTTATAGGTAAGTCCACAGAATCTTAGCTTAAGAGAAGAGCAAATTGCCTTTAGTAGTACGACTTTCCAGTGAACCCCCTATCCTCAACCGAGAGTTCATTCCTTCTCTGAAGCGGATGAATTTCGAAAACCCGAAAGGCGCCGAAAGCCGAAGCACTGGCTTCACGAGTTGGCATCGTCGTTTGGGCCATTATTGCAGTGCCTTTTCCACCAATGAAGTCGTCCGCCCGTTCAGTCGCGAATCGGGCTTTCAACTGAACGGACGGTCTGTGCCCCCAGCGAGGGTCGCCACGAAACTATCTGACGTGCGAGTTGCGATTCCACGCGAGTGTTCCACGCGAAATGCTACGCGTTGCGTTGTCGTTATCCTTGCCGCTGTCATTTGCCGGATTTTGGCAGACCTCGCCAAAGTTGTGAGCGAGTGAAAGTTTCTAGTGCACTTGTCGCGTGGCGACTTCGGCTTACCATTACTCTTGCATTCGCAATTGCGTGCTCAATTCAAAGTAATTATCAAATTGTTTGTTGTTTTGCAAAAAATCAGATCGTGGCTCTAAACTGCTGGTCCAACCTTTTGACGACATGTGCCACGTTTGTTTGCACTCGGAAAAGTTTTGTGATGGTGCTGTAATGCTGATGAATAGGGTCATTGACCTTTTTTTTTTTTAAATAGTTATGGGGGATTTTGCTTAAATACTATTAATGGTCGAAACTGAAAATAGTTTTGGTTGGTGATTTGATTAAAGGAACTGCTTTCCACATTAATATAAACCTGTGAATTTCATTAGAAATATTTATTTTTTTAATACTATAACAATCCTTATTTAAGCTTAGAAAAAATAAATTGGTAATTATGTAACAGTTTTTTACAAACTCAATTCACTTAAGTTCCTTGTTTTTATTTTCAACAGCTACTTTCTTTCATGACGAAAATACTTTGCACTTGCCACGGCAAAGCAATTTAACCATTATATATGTGTTTTACACTCGAAATAAATTGAATGCAACTGTAATACCGTAATTTGTCAGAAATTGTGCAAAAAACCGCAAATATCCCGACACCAAATCCTTTTACTGGAATGCAACAAACTAAATGGCCATAAAAACCGCTTACGAATACTGACTGCGGAAAGGGTCCCAGGGAATGGGATGTTGGCCATGTTGAGACACAAACAAAGAGCCGCCATGTAACCAGCAAAATAATTTGTTGCAATAAATATTTGAAAATCCAGTTAAGCGAAACATTTTCGTCACGAAGAGGGTCGCACAGTCTAAGAACTCGGCAAAAAATGCACTCCGGGCCAAGAGGCAGAGTGTATAGTAGGGTATGGAACGGGTGTTGCTGAAATCCCGGTTGGGTAGTAAAGTGTTCACGAGGAGTTTCTGGAGGCAGATGGTTTGCGTACAGGGTACCCAGGATTATATAGACAGAAGATTGCAAGATCCCACTATGTAAACATTTTTTGAATTAAATATTTTTCTGATGAATTGTTTCAATTTGAAGAATATTTAAGACATTTCCCCATATGCTAAACTGTATTATGAAAAAAATGTTTTTTGTTTTTTATGTGTAATATTCAGAAGCATTCTTTTAGACATATTTTCACGCTACAAATTATACCAGTTGAGTTCGTATTAGCAAACTAATTAAAACCTTTTCAGTAGAATGCATAAAGTCCTATCAAAAATACCCATCGCTGTACTCTACATTTTTGTTTTGTTTTGTGTGTCATTTTTATGCAGTTGCCGCTTTTTGCATGCCCCGCATGCCACTGCCGACGTTGCCACTGTTGCACGCCGTGTTGCATTTTGTTGGTGGTCCTGTGCCGCCGGGTTCTACGACGTTTGTGTCTCTATACCGGACGCTTTAATATTAAAAGCGTTTAAAATTTTCGTACATTTTCGGCGCCATTGTTCCGTGTTCTGGCTGATGCCCCGAAACGAAACAAACACAAAAAAAGGGGGGATTTCCTCAGCCTGAGATATCCGCAATCCCTTTGTTGGGAGGCGGATAAAATGGGGCGCTTGTTGCACCGCTGTGGGGCAGCAACGTTAACAAGCTTTGTTATGTTGCGCCATCCGACCGTCGCACTTGCTTCTGAGTTTGCGTTTGAGTTTGAGTTTGCTCAACGTTTTGCCAACTGTGCGAGAAAGTTGCCCGCAGCGTCGGAAGCGGAAACGGAAGTGTTGCCATTGCCATTTTGCTGGCATCGCCGTTGCATTTTTGGTACGTTCCGCACCCCGTTTGTGCCTGTGTTGTGATGGCGATATTGTTTTTGCCATGCCTCTTCGATAATACTCCTTTCTGGCTTTCCGCCTGTGAAATGTTGCCTGCCACTGTCCTTTTTTCCTCAACTGGTGAAAAAAGTGGGAGCACAAAAGTTTCTGACAGGTGGTTTGTGTGTTACGTGTTTGCTGTTTACTTTGTGTAATCATTTCATTTGTCAGACTTGATTTGCCAGCGAACACAGCGTTGACAGCTTGACGTTGCAAATTGAGATTTTGAGGAAAGTATATTCACGGGTCTGCAGCCAGGCATTCCGGCGATATCCGCAAAACCAATTGAAAAACTTTTGAAATTCGTTCAGAAGAGCAATTGAAAGTTTTACAGAATTAAAATTCATTCCATTTCAATTTGCATGCAACATTACCTATAAGCTAAGTTTAAATTATTCTTTTATATCAATTTCTTCAATTGTTACCTCGCCATTTTTAATTTTGATATATTTTCCATACGTTCCATTTGAGTTTGAATCAAAAATATTCTTCTTTGTGTAAGATTTGCCTTCACAAACAAAAGGTTAAGGGCCAAAGTTAAATTAATGTTGAGTTTCCGCCGACAAATCAAATTACTGTCTGCGTGCTGTCTGAAGATATTTAATCCGGCTGAGCCGAAGTCTTAAACGCTTCAAATTAACGCACAGGCAATGAATTTCAACGGCACCGTGGAATGAGGACCCAAAACTCAAAGTAAAGCAAACAAAGTTGGCTCAAAGTCAGAAGTCAAAAGGCCGGGGCCCAAACTATGTAGGAAAAATGCGTGTAAACAGCAGCAGCAAATCATTCCACGCATCCGGATCCGCGTTCGGATTTTGACTTGGGTCTGAGGCTCCCGTAGAGTGGTGGCAAGCTGGCTCCTCATCGTCATGGGGCCACCCAGTCATCATCATAATCGCCATCGTGACACTCCATTTCAATCGCCGTTGGTGTTGATTACAGCCCCATTGTTGTTGCTGTTGATTACGCGACGTTAAAGTGATTAAAGGTGAAAACATTTGCCGCCCAGTGAATCCTTGAACATTTGGCAACTTGTCGCCGTAGTGTTGAACTTTTTCGTTACATTAGCCGTTGCAGAAGAAAATTAAGGTAAAGGATTTCCATGGCCATGGCAGAACCCCACTGCCTGCCACGCCCACATACACGCCGCCGCTTCCGCCCACAGCCGGAGTTAAACGCCCGGCAGTTGGCCATCACGATAATAGCCACTGCAGCGGTTACCATGCTGATGACAGCCACGCCCACACTCGCCGAAATCCCCTCAAAGGGTAAGTGCTTTGATAATTTAATGACCCTCTCTTGATGGGCTTCTTAGTTTGATTGATTGACTGATGAACCGAGAGGGGGAACATGAAAAATAGTGACAACAGAGGAACCAATTCTTGCTCTATATCTATATAAAAAGCAATTGCTATTTACAAGGTTTCACTGTAAAGTAATTTAAATAGTCGAGCCCTTGCCAAAACGTAATTTCTATTGGCGCTTAGAAACTGGTAGAATCTATTTTAAAAATGCCTTTCATTACTAAGAAGAGTAGTTTAAGAAATCATAATAAATCAGCTAAATAATTTGTGTGTGGTTAATTAAGTTAATTAGGTTCTCAAAGCTGACGATTCTCGTGGATTAAAACAGTTGGAAAAGGTCTCCTTGGATTATCTTCAATAAGTTACTTAAACCTAAGGCGAGCAGCATGTGCAGCTATATGCAGTATCAGCAAATATACATTGAAAATTCCAAAAGAAATATGTTTTTATTGATACCGATTAAAATTTAAAATCTTTAAAAGCCTTCATTTATATCCTTTCTGGTCAAGTCTGTGCTACAGTCACAGGTAAAACAAATTTCTTGTATTAAAACTTAATGGACCTCGATATTTGGTTCTGCCCAGAAAAATGTGTGTTTACCATCTGCCATTAAAAGCAATTTCGGAAGAGAAAATAATTTTAGGTTTTGTTCGCTGCTGCTCTGCCTAGTTTTCTTGCCTTTTGAAAAGGTTGTTCGCATCCAATTGGCCAAGAACAAAAATTGCACATGTTTGAAATATTTATGAAAACAATTTTCCATTTTCGTCCGGCCGTTCGAAAGGAGGGAGTGTTTTATTTGCATATTTGTGAAATTTATCTACGGCTAAGCAAACGAAGAGGCCGACAGATACGACGTAGTACACGCTCAAGGATATTTTGTGACATAATCAAATATGCTTTAAGCCAAAGCCAACAACTCAACCCCTTTGAAGTCGCTGCCAACAAAATGAATGAACTGCAGATAAAAGATGTTGGCCCCTGCCACCTCGTGATATTTCAGTGGTTGCCTCACATATACGAGTATGCATTGTAAAGATATTTTACAGAAACATTTTCCAGCAGTTCCCAAGGGGAAGGAAATATTCTTATTTCCATCTTATGCCTTCTATTTTATGAGCAAGGAAATGCAAATGCTTACAAGACGTTTAACATGTCACCTGCGGGCAGAAAGACACTCCGCAAAATGCTCTCCACACTTATCTGACAGTTGTGCATCTTTGGCCTTCGCCTTTTCCATTCGGCATACGTATAAAATACACATTTGTTTGCCTTACCATGTTTGTCACTTATCGTTTGGACCAATGTTTTGCAGCTGAGTGCCATTTCCCCGGCCACCGACTTTCCCATTTCCACTTCAACTGGGGTCGAGATAACTTGTGCTTGCGTATATGTGGAGATATATTATGATTTTATGCATGGCTTGTCCAAGAATAACTATTTTCCCAATGCTGGAGATGTGAAAAACTTCCATTCCTAGTTCGCAGTTTATTTGGCTAGACGGAAATGGCTTGAGTGCAGCCGTGTATGCAAGTGCCAAAAATAATTGAATAACGTTGCAATGCGTTCTTTCAAATAATTTACTATTGCCTAACAACAGATAAGCTCACTTCAAAAGTTGGTTAAAAATATAATATAAATATAAATATAATTTTCAAAACGATTTCATGCTTTATTGCAACTCGGGTATAAGTATTAGTAACTTTATAACACGACTTTTGCATTTCTCCGGTATTTTTCACAAACATTAAATCTCCTTTGCAAGATCTTAATATCTACTTTATTGTCAGCTGCCGCTGTGATATACTTTACACCAGTACCACATCATTTTTATGACACACTATTTTCCTGTTATTTCCGATTGTCGCCTCCCATTACATTTAGAATTTTATGGCGGTTCTTCCGCTATACGTTTCTTACGCTTCTTACTTTTCGCCATTTTAAGGAGTTATTTCTTTTTTAATACCTATTCTTGTGGTGCCTCGCTAATGTCCTTGACTGGCTGTTTTTAGCCAACAGGACGAAGGGCTGCCATTCGAAATCGTTGGCAAGGATTCTTATTATTATGGGCTCGCGTGTGCATCGCCTGCATTTTAACCTATTACTTACTTCCTCAGACTGCTGCGCGAAACTTATTAAAATTTTCGACGCCGCAGTGGCTGTTGCAGAAAGGGGAAATGAAGTGAAGCAGGCGTTGGCCACACTGGCGAACCGACCGTTGGTATGGGCATTGCAATTTATGCTTGAAGTTTCAAGAAATTCCCGAAATAGTTTCGCGTGCTCGAAATTATTAACTCTACTAATCAGCATAAAAATGCGGCCCAAAAGACCGCAGAATGGCTCTTGTTAAAAAGTGTGGCGAAAAGTGAAAGTGTTCTGACTTCGGCCGACTAATAGTTTTATTTAATTTAGTTCGAAATTTCGCGCGTGATTTCACGTAAGGTTTTCCCAGCCGTCATTCAAATGAAGTGCATAAATGATGTGTAAACCATATGTCTGCAATAAGTACAGTATCAGAAAGGGAACCATTTTTGTTACTATTGCATTTTGTTATAATTCTGCTACTTAACAATTATAATAATTTAGACTTCAATGGTATATTTTCATATAAATTCGTTGTTAATTTCCACGCCCTTTAAAATTGCGGCCATAAAAACCCCATTTACATGGCTAACGAGCTGTGGCAGGAAAAATGAGCTACTTATAAAATACCACCCACAAACATTCCCATATTTTCGAGCCCCAATCGAGCCAATAAATAAGAGACATATGAACGATAAGCGTAACAAGAAGAAATGGCTTTTGCGCTTCAATAACAATAATTCAAAATCAACGCCCCAACGTAACACAAGATCAAGATGGAATGCTATAGTCGAGTTCCCCGACTATCAGATACCCGTTACTCAGCTAGTGGAAGTGCAAACGAGTAATTTCAACATTTTCTGGAATATCGGTAGAAATTGCATGGAGTTATGGAGTTTAGAACTTCAGCCTTAGGACATTTCTTATTCGTTTTGAATTTCTACAACATCACATCAGAAAAATTACAAAAAAATGAAAAAAAAAAATAAATTTCTAAATTTTAATGCAGATTTTTAGAGAATTGCGCCAGAATTATTTATAGGTATGCCACTCCAAAATCCGATGAAGATAGGTTGAGTTATGGAGTTTAGAACTTAAGCCTTAGGACATTTTTTAATGTTTTTGAATTTTTCAACATCATAACATGATAAAAAAATTACAAAAAAATTTTAAAAAAATAATTTTTTAAATTTGAATGCAGAGTTTTAGAGAATTGCGCCAGAAACATTTAAAGGCATGCCACTTCAAAATCCGATTAAGATAAGTTGAGTTATGGAGTTTAGAACTTCAGCCTTGGGACATTTTTTAATTTTTTGGAATACATACATCAGAAAAATGACAAAAAAAATTAAAAAAAAAAAAATTTCTAAATTTCAATGCAGGCTTATAGATAATTGCGCCAGAAACATTTAGAGGTATGCCACTTCAAAATCCGATCAAGATTAGTTGAGTTATAGAGTTTAGAACTTCAGCCTTAGGACATTTTTTAATTTCTTTGATTTTCTACATCATGACATCAAAAAAATGACAAAAAATATTAAAAAAAATAAATTTTTAAATTTGAATGCAGATTTTTAGAGAATTGCGCCAGAAACATTTATAGGTATGCCACTTCAAAATCCGATTAAGATAAGTTGAGTTATGGAGTTTAGAACTTCAGCCTTAGGACATTTTTTAATTTCTTTGATTTTCTACATCATGACATCAAAAAAATGACAAAAAATATTAAAAAAAATAAATTTCTAAATTTGAATGCAGATTTGTAGAGAATTGCGCCAGAAACATTTAAAGGTATGCCACTTCAAAATCCGATTAAGATAAGTTGAGTTATGGAGTTTAGAACTTCAGCCTTAGGACACTTTTTAATTTCTTTGATTTTCTACATCATGACATCAAAAAAATGACAAAAAATATTAAAAAAAATAAATTTTTAAATTTGAATGCAGATTTTTAGAGAATTGCGCCAGAATCATTTATAGGTATGCCACTTTAAAATCCGATTAAGATAAGTTGAGTTATGGAGTTTAGGACTTCAGCCTTAGGACATTTTTTAATTTCTTTGATTTTCTACATCATGACATCAAAAAAATGACAAAAAATATTTAAAAAAATAAATTTTTAAATTTGAATGCAGATTTTTAGAGAATTGCGCCAGAAACATTTAGAGGTATGCCACTTCAAAATCCGATTAAGATAAGTTGAGTTATGGAGTTTAGAACTTCAGCCTTAGGACATTTTTTAATTTCTTTGATTTTCTACATCATGACATCAAAAAAATGACAAAAAATATTAAAAAAAATAAATTTTTAAATTTGAATGCAGATTTTTAGAGAATTGCGCCAGAAACATTTAGAGGTATGCCACTTCAAAATCCGATTAAGATAAGTTGAGTTATGGAGTTTAGAACTTCAGCCTTAGGACATTTTTTAATTTCTTTGATTTTCTACATCATGACATCAAAAAAATGACAAAAAATATTAAAAAAAATAAATTTTTAAATTTGAATGCAGATTTTTAGAGAATTGCGCCAGAAACATTTAGAGGTATGCCACTTCAAAATCCGATTAAGATAAGTTGAGTTATGGAGTTTAGAACTTCAGCCTTAGGACATTTTTTAATTTCTTTGATTTTCTACATCATGACATCAAAAAAATGACAAAAAATATTAAAAAAAATAAATTTTTAAATTTGAATGCAGATTTTTAGAGAATTGCGCCAGAATCATTTATAGGTATGCCACTTTAAAATCCGATTAAGATAAGTTGAGTTATGGAGTTTAGGACTTCAGCCTTAGGACATTTTTTAATTTCTTTGATTTTCTACATCATGACATCAAAAAAATGACAAAAAATATTAAAAAAAATAAATTTTTAAATTTGAATGCAGATTTTTAGAGAATTGCGCCAGAAACATTTAGAGGTATGCCACTTCAAAATCCGATTAAGATAAGTTGAGTTATGGAGTTTAGAACTTCAGCCTTAGGACATTTTTTAATTTCTTTGATTTTCTACATCATGACATCAAAAAAATGACAAAAAATGTTAAAAAAAATAAATTTTTAAATTTGAATGCAGATTTTTAGAGAATTGCGCCAGAAACATTTAGAGGTATGCCACTTCAAAATCCGATTAAGATAAGTTGAGTTATGGAGTTTAGAACTTCAGCCTTAGGACATTTTTTAATTTCTTTGATTTTCTACATCATGACATCAAAAAAATGACAAAAAATATTTAAAAAAATAAATTTTTAAATTTGAATGCAGATTTTTAGAGAATTGCGCCAGAAACATTTATAGGTATGCCACTTCAAAATCCGATTAAGATAAGTTGAGTTATGGAGTTTAGAACTTCAGCCTTAGGACATTTTTTAATTTCTTTGATTTTCTACATCATGACATCAAAAAAATGACAAAAAATATTAAAAAAAATAAATTTTTAAATTTGAATGCAGATTTTTAGAGAATTGCGCCAGAAACATTTAGAGGTATGCCACTTCAAAATCCGATTAAGATAAGTTGAGTTATGGAGTTTAGAACTTCAGCCTTAGGACATTTTTTAATTTCTTTGATTTTCTACATCATGACATCAAAAAAATGACAAAAAATATTAAAAAAAATAAATTTTTTAATTTGAATGCAGATTTTTAGAGAATTGCGCCAGAATCATTTATAGGTATGCCACTTTAAAATCCGATTAAGATAAGTTGAGTTATGGAGTTTAGAACTTCAGCCTTAGGACATTTTTTAATTTCTTTGATTTTCTACATCATGACATCAAAAAAATGACAAAAAATATTAAAAAAAATAAATTTTTAAATTTGAATGCAGATTTTTAGAGAATTGCGCCAGAAACATTTAGAGGTATGCCACTTCAAAATCCGATCAAGATTAGTTGAGTTATGGAGTTTAGAACTTCAGCCTTGGGACATTTCGTAATTATTTTGAATTTCTACAGAATCATAACATCAAAAAAATTACAAAAAATTAAAAAAAAAATAAATTTCTAAATTTGAATGCAGATTTGTAGAGAATTGGGCCAGAAACATTTAAAGGCAAGCCACTTCAAAATCCGACTAAGATAAGTTGAGTTATGGAGTTTAGAACTTCAGCCCTAGGCGTAGGCGTAGTCGATTACAATTTTTCGAATAAAACGCTAGAAAGTTTCTCACCTGATTAAATAAATAAGTAAATGTCGATCCTTATGAACGACGTATATCAAGATCTCGGGAAACCACATCTATATCAGAGGAGCTCCAGAATTAATGTGAATTAATGTGAGTGCATTCCCGTTTCCTATCATAATAAAGTAACACTATCTATCAGCTGCATGATCTTTAGTTTTCCATTTAAAACTGTATTGTTGCGAACTTCATTTAATGGCATAGAAAGACCCACACTCAACGAAACGTTGGCTATTGCGCCAAGAGCTTATGAGTCATAAGGGGCAAGTACACGCTGGACATGGAGTAGCTCCTGGCTCCCCTGCGAACTGCCGCCCGGCAGCAACATCCCTCCGAGGAGGGTTTCTTTTTCGGCTTGCTCTTGCTAGTGCTCCGCGGTTGGACTATTGAGCCTAGACCCATCTGGCGCACCAGAAACTCCTGGGCCGCCATCATCTGTTGCCTTTGTTGCTCCTCGTCCCAATCCTTCTCCGCGGCCATGATCTTGAGGATTCTGGGCAGCATGTGCAGCGTGGCGGCCGCATCCACGAAGGCTATGCGCAGGCGCCGTGCGATGATGTCCACAAGGGTGCAGGCGTACTCATTGCGCATGGCATACTGAACCTCTGCCTCGATATAGGGGAAGCTCGGATGAAGGCGCTTCTTCAGATCGGGAGCCTGAGAGAACAATGCATGTCCATTGTACCCATAGGAATCGGATATATGGTGCGCCACGTCCATGGGCACAGCGTAGTCCTGCACGAATTCCAGCGGCAACATGCAACACCACGATTCGGCTCCGTCTAACTTTAGGTCCTGTGTCCAACTGGAGGTCACATGATCGTCGCATAACCCACAAGATTTAATCGCCAAATCCACGGCATCGGCTGCCATGACGCGGTAACTGCTCCAGCGTCCGCCGGCCAGCGTGATGAGACCGTCGGCACTGACCTCGATCATATAGCTGTTGATCGGTGATCCACGCTTATCATCATTCTCTTGGTCACTAGGACAGCTCACACTGGCCTTGATGGCCGTCCAGGCGCTGAGAACGTGGCAGCGGCCCAGCTCCACGCAGGGATCCATCCTAGTCTTGGCTGCCTCCAGCAGACAGTCCACGTCATCTGGCTCGGGGGTGGGACTTCCACGGCCGGACACTTCGTCCAGCTCCACTTCGCGAGTGCCTAGAACCATGTGGCTCTCAAATGGTACCATGTATATAGTGAGATCATCACTCTTCTGAGCCGGACTCAGCAAGCCGTAGTGTCCGGAACCAAAGTAGCGGGGCAGGGAGACTTGGGTTCCCAGAGTGGGCAACAGAATCGGAGCTGTTCCCTCCTTGTCCATCTGCCGGATGGCATCCGTGCTGGACCCTGTGGCATTGATCACCGCCTTGGACTGGATGTAGAACTGCTCGCAGGAGATCCTGTCCTTGACGCTTACAACTCGGCAGCAGCCCTCCTGTGGCATGATCTCCACCACCTCCATGTGGTTGCACACATTGGCACCCAGGGCCACCGCGGTCATCACCAGTGCGACACACATCCGGGCATCGTCCACCTGACTGTCATAGTAGACGACACCTCCGCGAAGGCCATTGGTTTTTAGGAGCGGAAACTCATACATGGTGGCCTCCCTGGAGATGATGTGCGATCCGCGGATATTCGAGGCTGCAGATATCCAGTCGTAGACCTTGGAATATATTTTAAACACCTGTGCCTTGTCTCAACTCCTCACCTACCTTCAATCCCAGCCAGGTGCAGGGCATCTGCAAAAAACTATAGATGGGTATGATCATTGGCTGGATGCGGTTCAGGTGCGGAGCGTTCTTTAGCATGGTCACCCGCTCACTCATCATTTGCAGCATTATGTACAGCTGCTCGACATCCTTCTCCCGCAGGGCAGTGCCCAAATATGAACCACTGCCATCGATCAGCTTACTGGTTCGCGAACTGGAGCCGCTCGCAAAATCCTCGGCCTCAATTAAGGCTGTTTTAAGACCACGACACGCGGCGTCGACGGCGCAACCACAACCCACGACTCCTCCTCCGATGACCAGAACGTCGAACTCCTCGGCCTTTAGTGCATTTAAGTGCTCCGCGCGAGATGGCACCACCTTCATTCCGCAACAGTGGTTTCGGCGAACTTTGACCCTGCTCCGCTGATGGGTGAATATGAAGGCCTGGTTCAAAAGGTGGCGATGCTCGCTGAGATGAGCAGCACTTCGCGCGAGGATGGACCCCAGCTTGGCCATAGTCAATGGGTCCTTTAACTGAAGGCAATACACAAAAATTTAGAATTTCGGGGGTCGCGCCGTTTTTCCAACGCTTCCCAAAATTTTCGAAAAGTATCCAAAAGGTATGCAAACAGAAGGCTTTAAGATGCTTGTGTCATTCTGTTATGGCAGTCATCTCAAACCTACTTTGTTATAGACTAATTTGTTTATAAATTGTTTTATACGGAATATTGTATATGCCCTAAAAAGCGGTTAATAAAACATTTCATATTCATGATCGTTTAACCATGACTATAAAGGTCCTCATTTAATTGCCTGAGCTGAGTTTGTTTAACCCTTTGGAGAGCAGGAAGACCTGTACAAGTTAAAAATTCAATAAAATTTTGAAAACATGGTAATTGAGCGACATTCCACCCACACCCACACCAAAGCCAAAGCCAATTAAAATTAAAGAAAATTATAGATATGCGGCTTGTCGCCTCGCCAGTTTCCTCCACACCTGGGCGAAAAGGTGTCGGGCTGTCACAGTTTCTGACAATTTAAACTCGTGACTGGCAGACGAGGGGGAGAAAATTACAATGCTTAGCACATTAAGGTAGGAAAATTTAATTACATGCGATGCCGATGGTGAAAGGCGGGGAAATGGGTAAAAACTCGCCACTTTTCGATGGACAATTGCGGAGGCGTGGGCCAATGCTTACCTGGGGCGGCTATAAATGCCCACCTTCCACCTCCCACCCACATCCACAACCACCCACATTTGTGGCAGAATATTAATGGTGGCAATCCCCGGGAGATGGGCGCCCTGGTGGTGGTGTCACCGCAGATGTAGGACTCTGACACGGCGCGCGTCTAATGAATTTGTTTAAGTAATTTCAATTCATTTGTTAATTTTCAACTATTGTCTCTCTATTGACTCTGTTTATGTGCCCGGGGTCTGTCCATCAGCCTGTCATTCCGTCACTCCGAGCTGAAGTGTTGGCCATCGGGTTCGCTTGTCTGTTTGCCCCACTGAATGAGTGTCCTGTGGGAATGCGGTGCTTTTGACTTGCCGTTCCGACGACCGACATTGTCCTTTTGTCATTGACCTGGCCATTAATACGCTGCTATGGCATAGATAAACTTTCGATTGCTGATTGCCCACATTAACATTCGATGGGCATCGAGGGAGGCGGCTTTGGTTTGGTTTCTAATGCCGCAGACAGGTGGAGATCATGTCATGAAATGGTAAACTATGCTCCATGCGGTGGAGTTCAGGAATCGATAAAGAAAAGTTGCTAAATAACTTGGTATGTACTTACTTACTACTACTACTTACTATTTCGTTTTTGGTAAGGTGAAATTCAACAATCAACCGAAGATCGGATTTTCGGATCTAAGCTGTCTTTCAACAACTTGAGATAAATCTGCCGGATCTTGTTAAAAAGTTAAATTTAGTTGACCATATTAGGGTCTTATCCTTCCGCTCCTTGGGCCACGAAAAGGAGCAACAAGAACGGCGCCCGAGGCCTTCTAAATACAAATTTCCGGTGTAAGCCACACAACAAACCTGACCTAATGCCCCATACCCATCTTCCTCCACCCCACGCCCATGTTGGCCCTCCTCCAAAGCCGCCTGCTGGAAACCAGGCGACCGCCACGCCCCGGCACTTTGTTACATTTCGTTACCTCGCCAAAGTGCCTCAACACATTCGGCGGGATGCGGCGTGGCCTTGTTGTTTCCTGCTCACCTTACCAGCTGGTCCACCCGCCTTCTCCAGCCCCTTTCCTGGTTGCAACTGGCTTTGTTTTGCGGCTCGCTGTTGCTGGCGTGTGGCTCACCTTCTTCTTTTTTTGGACTTCCCGGGCCAACCAACCTGCCACCACCCACCACCCACCACCCACCGCCAGTTGGTCTACGGGCATTATTGCAGCTATAAAGTCAGTGCCTTGAACTTTTCCTCTGGCTGTTTTTGTTTTGTCCGTTGTTCTTTTGGTCCGGCTTTTCATTTTTTTTGTTTTTCCTTGTTTTTTGTATTCAAGCTCTCTTTTTGTCGCCTTATTGCCATTGAAGTTTGTTTTTTATGGCCTGGCCGAGCTTGACAATAAGCACGGCGGCGGCAAAACTTTTCCACTTCTCATTTATTATTACGCTCGACAATTGCTGTTGTTGTTGTCCTGACAACCGAGCGACAGAAATTGGCGTTTGCCCATGTTGCCTTCCTTCGACAGCAACGAAGGCTAGGAAAAAATCTAGAAAGATCGGAGTGAAAATACAACAAACAGCTGGCGGTGCAAATGCAAACAAGCGTACAAAATTCATCTAAAATGTGTTAAAAAACGCTCGCAAAAAGAGAAAAAAACATAATTAAAATAATTCAAAATAAACGATTTGTTGCGCTTCGGCTGGCAATCAGCGAGGTGTTAAGTGGCCCAAATTGTCTGGCAACAAGGTGCCTTTACTTAGCCCCGCCCCCAAACATTTTACAGAAGTTTGAATTTATTTCGGGGGTGCTTATTGTCGAAAGTTTTGATTTATAGGGACAAGTGGCAAATTTAGCCAATGCTATATATCCTTCGGCCTCCTTTATTAAATTTTTTGAATACCACATACCCTATTTCTTCTTACCATTACATCGGAAATGTAAAACCTTCTGGTTTTATTGTACCTTATAAAGAAGAAAACGCCTAGAATATTTTCAAAACATTCCGCCGAAAGTCGTATTCAATTGCCAAAAATCGAGCCCAATTTAGCTGTAGTATTGTGGCATAATTGAGTTGCACACGCACGGGGCAAGGTCCGCCAATCCAAGACAAGAGGAGGGGAAGTGCTTTCTCTGTCAGATGCTCGAGCAGTTGGGCCGAGTATAAAGGCGATAATTTGTAGCAATTAGTTTGGCACTCGGCCATGGCAACAGTAATGGCAAATGGAGAATGGCCAGTGGTAAATGGCGCCTGGGATCGCCCAAGGTGGCATACCACATGACGCAGGACACTGTGCGGAATTCGGCATATGGCACGCAGCGATTTCCAAACGGACAAACGGACAAACGGACATTTGATTACAATTGAACAAACGTCACGAGGGCAGCCAGCCGTTTAAAGCGAGTAAATGTGACACATTTTCAGCGGCATGACATCAATTAAATTTATACCTTTTCTGTCACCCAGAAAAACACGCAGTGCCACATGAAAATATTTTATTTTTATAGCTGCCTTTTCATTACTCAGTGGGCAAAAGACAGCATATACTGAATGTATTTAAACTGCCGCCGTAGATTGCAAAATTTAATTTAAATGGCCTTTTGTTTAATGTGGATCGATCGCTGTGATTATTTCCGCATGTAAAAATGGTTATCAATAACTAATAAGTAATGATACAGTCGTGTTAGTTCCTAATTGTTTTCTATGGCTGGTAATACATTTTGCACATGTTTTTAAAAACAACTATTTATGTAGAATAATAAAAAAAGTGGTCATTAGTTAGGTGAGATTTTGTTCACATTCGAGTTTGGCCATCTTTACCAAACGCAGAGTTAGGGTATCACTAAGTCGCTCCTGCTTCCTTTAATTCCCCCTTTTTTATCCTTTAGCTAGCCCCATGTCTCAGCAATTGTTGTTCCCTTGTTGTAGGCAACACTATTTGTGTCATGCAACAATGTAATTGCCACTGTCGTTGTCATTTCCGCTGGACACACGTTTCAACGACAGGAAAAAAGGCCAGGGTGGGAGAAAGGGAAAGGGGAGAAAGGGAAAAAGCATTAAAGATATTGCAGGGAAGGGTCCTGTTGATGGGCGGGAATGTGAGAAAGTGGGGCGTGGCAGCCGTGCGGCGGAAGGAAGTGAGTTGTAGGTCGGCCATTGTGCAGTTATGCGGTGAGCAAGTCGTATTGTGGCGCCCTTTGGGCCCACGAAGGGCAAAGGGGCAAGAGTAAATGTCCTGGCCAATTGTCAGAGGCGCGGGCCATGTTAAGTTGAAAATAATAGACGTGGACATGGCTGTCATGCTGTCAGTCGAAGACGATGAGCGCCGGACACTAATCGATGTGGACAAATTGCAAAGGTTGCAGGCTTAGCCACCCACCTTCACATAAACCAGCTCTATCCACCGCCTTAACTGGGCTCCCTTGAAATTAATGGCTCAATGAGGCGGGACATTAGCTGCTCGTTTGCCCCCAGGAGGGATTTTTAATTGCTGCCTGGGTGGTCATTCTGTGGCCGCTCCATTTGTTTGTGTGCTCCGCAAGCCCGCAAGGTTCAACTCCTGCGGTTGACCTTCCCCCTGCCATCGATTATCCACTGCGATACCTGAGTACCTCTCCCCGGACTTCCCCCATTGCCTTTTTAGCTATGCTACAGTAAACTTGCGGTTGCCCGGAGCATCGCACTTGCATTCCGTACCAACCACTTTGCACCCATCCATGTGGCATCCACATCAGCATGTTTGATAAAAAGTCCAAGGGTGCGGCTTATTTAAATTCGCTGCACGAAGTCCAGCGATGGACTCTGAATTACGGATAATTCAGTTGCTAATGACCAATCTGGCCAAGAGATTCAAAGAAGCTCTTTGTCTAAGATAATCAGCTTATGCAACAGTTATTCTTTGGGTTTATCAAGTTCGAGCAGCTAGTGTTAAAGTGAACAAATATATGACTTTCTCAATATCTCTCTCTCTTTCTAGCAATGCTAATTTAACAAAAAAATTTCAAAATACCTCTTGCTGCTAAATATTTTAGTAATAATTTTGTTTCACTTTTTTTCAGGTAAGTTCGCGTTCACATCGATATTTAATTTTGACTGACCGTCAGTAAGTTGTCTATTTTGCTTTTAACCAAGAGCTGCGCACCAGCGACTGCTATTAAACTCAAAACGCCCAACTTTGTTCCATCGGGAAAGTTTTCTATTTCAATTTGTGTGTTTCAGTTTGAAGCAGTGAAAGCATCGACCATCCAATGCTGGCCAACACCTCCACTTTCGTCGAATCCCTGCTCCTGCCACCTGGATCCTCGCCTCCTGCCTCTGATACTAGCCACATTCGACACTTTATCACCTGGTTGGACACTGGCATTCAATGGATCGTGCTATTCCACACGGCCATAACATTTAATGGCGCTCCGCTTAACGCTTGTAAACACGTCGGGGCAATCAGAGTCCTGGCCACGCCCCCGCATTGTATATGTGCGC